GAAATGCGTAGGTTTTTCGAAAATGTCCACTTGCGAGACCCCGGTAAACCGCCCCATTGGATGCTGATTAACTCAGTCCTCGTAGTGAATGACTTCCATACAACGCCAGATGAAATAAGGGATATAGTGCAAAGCCTAAATGTGCACAAGGCCGCAAGGCTGGATGGAATTCATCCCGCCGTCCTTAAACCCATTGCGGCGATCGTGGCGGGACCCTTCGCGCAGCTGTTTAATTGGTCACTCCGTACTGCCCAGCTACCCAGAAATTGGATTGTGGCAATAGTTGTCCCTATTCACAAAGGGCGCAATAGAGAACAGCCGTCAAATTACCGGTCAGTGAGCCCACTGTGGGTTGTATTAAAGGTATTCCAAAGGGTTATTAAGAACAAACTGGTCGAACACCTTAGGAGAAATAGATTATTAGCCGATAAGCAGCACGACTTCGTTAAAAGTAAATCCTGCTTGACCAACCTGCTATCGTACCTGAATGAGGTCACGAGCCGACTAGATAGTGGAGAGCGACTCGAGGTATACTACCTGGACTTCAGGAAAGCTTTCGACTAAGTAAATCATCGCTTCCTGCTACACAAGTTGGAGTGTCTCAGAGTTGCTCTGGGGTAGTAGATTGGTTGAGAGCCTACCTGCACAACACGACTTTTCGGATGGATGCTTTCAAGCAGCTGATCGGCGCCTCGGTAACAGAAACACCGCAGCTGCACCTATGGCACAACACCAACTCTAGAGGCAACGGATGCAAATTGGAAAAGCTCAGGGCAATAAGGAGTATTAGGGACCAGTTCTTTTCGCATCGGGTGGTTAATGCGTGGAACCGGTTACCACAGCAAGTGGTTACTGCTCGTAGCCTAAAGGCTTTTAAGCACCAGCTGGACTAGGCATGGTTGATTATATTTCCCGACAATGAGTATGACTAACAACCTGGAACGATTTACTTAAAATTCCCGTAGGATACCATTGGTTGCTTAGTCTTACATCTGCACCAGCTTATTTAGCACGGGAGGTATACGAATCCCCTCATAATTAGGCAACCGGCTAGGGTGTAACATTGCCTCATCCCACTAATCACTCAGCTAAGTGCATATCTAGGCGCAGGCAGTTCTTTTCTTCCTTTCTTTTTTCTTCATACATTCCCCTATAGCATTAAGCTATATCAGTTGCAGAAGTAGCATCTGAACCGCAAAGGCACCGACGGGCGCAAACATCGGCTCGGATAGGATCCTATATTGTCGAAGCACACGCAGGGAAACGATACGGTCAGAGTGCAAGAACCTGAACTCAAATTGGCATCAGCCGCAAGTCCTGTGATCTGACCTAACCCGACCAGACATGACCTGACCTTTCAGGAAGTGTCGGAAGAAGTGTTATACTCGCAGACGAGTCGATCCCCGAACAAAACCCACCGTTACCAGGAAACGGAAAAGCTGAAGGCCTTTCTATGTTCTGTAATTAGAATTCGAATTTGGACCTGAATGTTTGTTTTACCATTTTCGTATGACCTTTTGCGCGGAGTTCAATTATGTGAAGGTTGTCCAATTAAGCGAAGACTTTCTCGGCTAATAAGCTAATTCGCGTGTTAAATTTTCGTATGTATACATTCATAATTTAGGAAAAGTATAAGTTCTCCCGTTGAAACGTTTTTCTTCTAAAAATACACAATTTTAGACTGGTGACGGTGGTATTATTTCGGTATTCGAATATCCACTTCGTTTTTATTTTATTTACATCCTAATCGCAAATTTAGTGATCGGTTCAGTTAGTTTCCCCGGTGAGGCTTATCATCTAGGTGTCAGGTGTACATTTTTTTTGTGTACGCTTTTTCACATTGTTGTCAAAATAATGTTTCAGTATATTGGCGAATAATCAAATTGCGTTTTGTTGTTGCAGGGTATGTGTAAATAATGTCTGAAACGGAGGCGTCTTGTGAAGCGCCGTCTTTTAGCGATATGTGCCCACAGACTGCGACTCTGCGGTTGAAATTAGCCAAGTGTATACGCAAACGACTGGATTTAATACAACGATGTTATCATGAAGAACTTGCTGAGCTAAGTTTCATACAAAGTGGTGCCCTTCTCATCGATTTTCATGGTTGGAGATCAAGGAGATCTCAGGAACTGATGCAGGCACTGTGTTCCGGCCACCTGGACCCAGAGGACCTGTCTCTTATCAGCGACTATATGTCTGGTCGTATCGCACCGGAATCGTTCTTTCCTCCATGTGGTGCCAACCCCAATCAGATAGTATCTGAAGCAGATGCAGATTCGGAAGGTGAAGATGTGAGTTTCAGTTTCGTTTTTAGATATGGCCTGACTTTTCACTTATGTTTGATTGTGGAACCAATTAGTGGAAAATACGAGTAGCGATCGTGGTAGTCCTATGGGTAATCAGTCAATTCAAGAGTGCACTTTATCCATCCATTGTGGACAGAAATATCACTGAAAAAATATCATCACTTGCCTTGGTAGACATGTCATTAAAATAGATCTAAATGTGTGACATTTTTTATATAAACAATAATGAGAGAGAGAGAGAGCGAGAACTCGTAGCTAATGTACGAAATTTCAGGATGACAATTTACCTGGGACTGTATCATTTCTTTTGGTGTTCGTTCCTTGTTAACCAAGTCAACGAAAAGGATAAGATACAACGGAAAGCTGTGGTGCGAGTGTATGAAGGCTTAAAGTTATTGCGGGTGATAGAAGTGGAAATGAGTGAAAGAGTTGAGTTTAAAGGAGCCAAGATTGAGTTACATAGAGGGTCACAACCTTGGGGTGTATTTTGCAATGGAGTAGATCAGCGCCACATAAGAAAAAGCTCCATATCTAAAGATGCTTTTCACAGCGTCTGATCAAATGAAGTTCTTAGACAAAATACCAAGGAAGCCAACGGGAAAGCAATAGGTCCCATGGCATAAAACGCATAAGAAAATAAATTTGAGTGACATACAGTGACAACCTCAGATGTCACAGGCGTGAACTGTAACGGGTCAGCTTTCTAACTCTGAACGTTCGTTACACGTGGTAGAACCATTCGAGGCAGCAGACAGTGAGTATCCAAGGTATTTAGAGTGTTGTGACCTTTCATCATATAAGTTGTTGATTAGGATGTTGGGACCACGATTATTGGAAAACAAAACAAAATGGATTATTTAAGGTTCAACGAAAGGTTCACCCCACCGAACCCTTCAGAAATCGAATAGCTGAATAAGGGGTTGGATGCACCACCAACCACTGCCGTAGACATTAAATGTGAAAGCAGTAGGGGTGGTTGGTAAGTTTTGGAGGTAAAGGGAGAAGATAACGGGATAAAATTGTTTCCTGCAATACACCTTGACAGTGGAGAACCCAATATCATTAAGACAAGTGCATTGACGTCGGCCAGTAAAGTAGTCATGCATCCACTTCAAAAGAGGTGGCGGGAGATTATGCTGCTGTAGCAATCTTCTGTCAACTGAGTTAGCGTTTCCTGCTTAGTGGCTGGACACCCTAGCAGTACCCGTCCATCAAACCCCAGTGCATATGCACTGCGAGTTTGGCAACGATCAGTAAAGTTCGCTTCTCTGTATTTCGCTGTACGATGATGATGATGATGAGAGTTAGCGTTTGTGTAGTTCGAATANTATATATATATATATATATATATATATATATATATATATATATATATATGTGATGAACAGCAGACGGGGTAAACCCCATAGTCACGAGGGCCTGCTGTTTAGTGATGGTAACGGGTAACCTGATCTCCGGGACTTGGAGTGGCGAACCGCATAAGGCCCCGATAGGTCAGGCCTGGTATAAAACCGGACGACAGCAAAGCTGCCTACCACCAAAATTGGGTGGCTGTGGAGGGACTCTAACATCGGACCCTAGGGTCCAAAGCACGATGGTGACAGCGACTAAACCACCGCGCATTCTTTTTCTCTTGTAATATTACAATTATCCATTTTCCACTGGATTTCATTAAAACATATGGGCCCTCCATTTTTGGTCATTTCCAGTGCGTGCTACATTCCTGAGCAAGAATAATAGGTTTCTGTTGTCAACATTTTTAGATATTTTTAGTAAATCTTTGTGGTGAACAATGGACAGAAAAACCCCTTATTCAGAGGGACTTAATGTTCACTTGATTTACGTAATTTCAATGTTGTTCTTGGGTTCCACAAGTTAGCGTTGTGGAATCAACCATGAAAAATATTAGGAATATTGTGTATAATAACACACCAATATCAAACACTTCTCTTTAAAAATCCTCTAACCCTGCACAGCACAGTGCTATCTTTAGGACATCAGGATAACTGCTATGACCGTACTTAGTGTCCGGCCAGATTTGCACAATTCACGATACTTCCTGTGGAAATTTTCAGCCTTATATTGCATAGGGGTTGTTCAGTGGAAAAAAGCCACCACATTCTCAGGTAATATTGCTAATTTTCTACGCTCGCTTATTTGCTAACACATTAGCATCTTGTTGGTCGTTAATCAATCAAGTCCTCACCGTCCGACAGTTGCTGGAGGTTGATCATGCGTACCACAAATCAGCGATAGTTGTGTTCTTAGACATTTACGTGGCCTTCGACTATGTCGATGGGACCGCTCTGTGGGACTTTTTGTTGAGGTATGGAGTACCTGAGAAGTGTGTGTCGATCCTCAAAGAGTTGTATCGTCATACCGCAGGTCGGGTCGGGGCCTATGATCAGATTTCACCGCCCTTTGCCATCTCCACTGGAGTGCGGCAAAGCTATCCTGTGTACGCAGTTCTCTGCAAATTTATCGCACAGGATGTTCTACTGGACGCTTTGTCTGCTCTAGTACACAGTACAATGGAAATCCTCCTAGGGAACAAAGTTCTGGACTTGGAATATATCGATGATATCGCCTTGTTGGGTGACAATCCACAGGCATTCCAACACTGAACCGCTTGGCGAGGTTTCCGGATATGGTATGTGCTTTGCACCATCCAAGTGCCAATCGCTTGTTCGCGACTGGCAGGAACTTGCCTTGGTCTGGACAATTTGGCAATACTCCGCCTACGAGTAAATCGTAGACCTATTTCTTTGGAGTCATGCTTATCTTACCGTAATTTGTTTGACATAGAACTCGTGTGTATAAAATACGATGATGTTAATCCTTGTCCTTACTCGAGCAGTGTATGTACAAAAAATGTTATAAATATTACCTAGGCTGCCATGTACGTTAAACACCGGCAATCACAAAGATATCTTCTCGACACTTTAGTGATCACCTTCAGTTTGCCAGGTTGTCTTGTTTATGGCATAGTTGTGAGGTTTTTGCTCAGGATGTAGACAGATTTTCTGTTCGCTTTCTCAACTTCCAACTTCTCTTTGTAAATGTTTCGCTAATGCGCAGCGCGGATTGGATGAAACTTCAATCTTCCGATTTGCGATGCGAGAGCTGAATGTGCTGAAGCGCGTGGTGGAGTTGAAAAAAGCTGGTCTGTGGTCGGTGAGCAAAAACATTCTGGATGCTCCGGAACTAGTTTCCACAATCTCTACGCCAAGTATGTCTTCCCTCGCACCACCGCCGGAGAACACCGCTCGAATTTTCAGTGACTACCTCTTCGCCGAGTTACAGTGGTTAGCTGAAGATTACAAGCGCGAGCGCCAATGGAAGAAAAGCTCGGCAAAAAAGGTGATGTTCTCTATGGTTTATTGCGATTTTTCTATAATGAATGCGAATGTTGCCGTCAAAATTACATCTATAGAATAACACTATGTTGTATCATACAGCTCCAGATTTTTCTCGAAACAGGATAATGTTCTGCGCTCCACCCATCGAGTGTGCTGTTTCTAGCGAACCAATTCTTAAAGTGGTTGTTGAGCCCTATTACCTTGAATCTACCTTCGTGACAGCTAGCTGTTCCTACAACAGTGTTAAGCATTTCGCTAGTNNNCCCTGCCCAAGCCCTGAAAGTGCGGGTGGTTATCTCCTTCGTTGCATTACCGTCATTAGTCACACAACTACCTAAGTGGGAAAAGCAATCCACTATAACTAATTCCTGGGCAGTTAGTTTCAAAAAAGGAGTAGGTGACACCCAGTCTTGCAGCACCACTTTGCACTTTGAGAGTGCAAACCACATACCGTTTTTATACTATGTGAATTACAGTAAACGGGGAAATCCCCATGGACAAGTAGTATGCTGTGTGGCAACAGCACCTACTATTCTATCAAGTGCGTTTGGCGCTTCCTCCATGCATTCCAACAAACAGATGATGTCATCGGCGCACTCTAAGTCCCACAGCTTTTCTCCAGCTGCCCATTCAATACCTACGTTTTGGAGACCACTTAATTCGTTTACGACGAAATTGAACAGGAATGGCCAAAGAGGGCACCATTGACGAACGTTGCTGGCGACCAAAGGTCTACTTAGTTCATTGTAAATCCTCACTCGTCCCGAGGTATGTGAGTATGGTGACCTCAGTAGGTTAGCGTGCTTATGGGGCATTCCTTTTAGAAGAAGGAAACCCATCAGAGCTTCGTGGTCAACTGAGTTGAAGGCCATTTTCAGGTCAAGAATGCTACGATCGTTATTATTATATTATATTTCGCGCACGCCTGACTTCAGACTGTGTCCGAAACAAATCATGGTACAATAATCTTTATGAAAAAGAAAAACTCCATGATTTGCATGTGGACTGAATACTACCAGGTTGCCCAGATCAAGACAGGTGAATTTTCATGAGGAATTCACAACCGGAGCCTTTGACTAACCAAAGCCTGACCCGCAAGGCAACGGCGGCGTGTGAAAACGGCAATCCATTGCGGGCCGGTGTCCAGTTCATCGGATCATATGCCCCTTGGACGGGGTCAAAAATCCAAGGTGCCCAATCGACTCAGTAACCACTATCGACGGTGGATGTGAGGCGGATGAAAGATCTGACGCAACGTATGGATTTGATCAATACATCCAAGACCACGTCGGAATGCGGCTTGCTTTTCACGGATGTTGGTCTCTCTTAAAGGAGTCAGACGTCGAAGTATGATGGAGGCCATCACTTTGGTGGTGGTTGGGATCAAACTTATCCAGCGGTGCTTTTCGCAATCGTTACGCTTTCCTTTCTTGAAAATGGGTTCAGTTCAGTTCGGTTTTTACAACCAATAACCATACACATTCTTGCGCCAGTTTTGGTTGCTGTCTTTTGGTGCCCCATACGGATAAAAGAACAGGATGAAGATTAGAATGTTGAAAGTAAATTCAAGTGGAGGGTGGAGAATTCACATAGAATGGTGTTAGAGGAAGTGAGTGGATGCACCAGCGCCACTGTTTGCGACACCCAGCCATATCACTGTGTCTCTAACCATCGGTGACCATCA